AGGTGTGTTAGCATATGGCTGTAATCCCAGCTACTTAGGAGGATTCATCAACCCCAGGAGTTCATAGCTGCATGAGCTATGATTACACCACTGCCCTCCAACTGAGTGACAAAGTGAGACTTTAAAAAATGAAGAGATAGAGAGAGAGAGATAGAGAGATAGAGAGAGAGAGAGAGAGAGAGAACAGCTACATTTAAACATTTAAACATATACCTATAAAAATACTAGAGGAAAACAGAATAATTTGAAGATGTCAAGAATTCTATGGGAAGTGGGAATTTACCCTACCTGCAAGCCACTAAATTAGCCTGTGACAATTTTAGAAATGCTGGCAGATGACAAGTGATCCTGGGTTAGAGACAAATGATTTTATTAGTCATGGCAAAAACAATAGGCAGAGTGTGAGCATGATGCTTGTGTCAGTTTCCCCACTGGGTTGTGTGTCCTTAAAATTACCCAAAGCCTCAGTGATTCACTGGAAAGACTACTGGAGGCCAGCTGTGGTGGCTCATGCCTGTAATCCCAGAACTTTGGCGGGGGCGGAAGTGGGCAGATCCACTTCCTGTAATCCACTGAGGTTGGTAGTTTGAGACCAGCCTGATCAACATGGATAAAACCTGTCTCTACTAAAAATGCAAACTTAGCTAGGGGTGGTGGCACAAGCCTGTAATCCCAGCTACTTGGGAGGCTGAGGCAGGAGAATCACCTGAACCTGGGAGGCAGAGGTTGTGGAGAGCTGAGATCATGCCATTGCACTCCAGTCTGGGCAATAAAAGCAAAACTCTGTCTTAAAAAAAAAAATTCACAGGAGTCACCATTTATCACAGATTAAAGGATAAAGATGACAATCAGCAAAGGAAAAGGTACATGAGGCAAAATCTAGGACAAAACAGCAGCAAGCTTCCAGGTGACCTCTCCCAGTGGGGTCATATGGACACACTCCTAGAAATGATGTGTGAAAACATGTTCTAATGTTGGCAGCCAGGGAAGCGCACATGAGCCTTGGTGCTCAAGGTTTTTATAGAGGATCAGTCACATAGACAGAAATGACTTACAGGACTGACCTCAGCTACTAAGTCTCTAGCTTCCCAGAACAAAGAAATGTTCATCATAAATTGCATTGTTAACATAAACTCTCTGAGCAAATCGGTACCATGTTTGCCAAAGGCTCAAAGACCATCTCCCAGGAGTTGTCCAAGACCCAGTCCCTTTCTCAGGATGTACTTATTTCTTCGAGCACAATGTGTGACAACTTGTGCAAAGTGTTGCAAACTAGGATGCTTACCTGATCCTTGGTGTCTATGGTTTTTACTGGGGAGTCAGTCACATAGATATACATCACCTGTCTGAACTCAGCTACTCAGACTCCAGTCTCCCAGAAAACAGATAGGTACTCACCATAAATCACTTATATAAAACTAGCTGATCAAACTGGTATTAGAAGGTCCAAGGCCTTATGCATACAAAAATGCTCTTATCAGGTTAACTATTAGTTCAGAGCTCATCTCTCAGGAGCTGACCAAGGGCCAGTCTGGAAGACAGGCATATCTTGGGAATGTGTAGAGCTGGCAAAGTTTGAACAACCCTGGCCAGCTGAGTTAACCCCTTCCTGTATACTTGTATTCTCCCAAGCCCTATGGGGAAAACACAAAGGACCATTGTTTGATACCTATAGATTCACTGTAGGAGAGAATTTCTGAACTTGACTGATTTTTTTGTCCTGAAGAGATGTTACTCATTCTTCAAGCTTGCCAGTGCAAATAAAATCCTGAAAAATGGCCCAGGTAAAAGGTGAACAGGGTTTTGCACTCTTGGTATACTTAGCAAGAACCTGCAGGGAGGTACAAGGCTTATGGCAGATTGCATTGTCCAACAAGGGTAGGCTCTCTTAAATAAGATAAAACACAGACGGCAAATTGAAGTGACTGATAACTTTGGTCACATAAAAACACTTACATAGCACAAAAGATACCATAGAAATGAAACTAGGCATAGAATATGGTAAACTGGAATGATCATCACTTCCACTCAAAAAATTATAATAAAAAATTACAAAATCATAACTTTTCTTGAATCCAACAAAGAGATGAGGTGGTCGGAAAACCAAGCAGCCAGAGATCTAGGGAAATACAAGCACCTCCTAGGAGGAAGATTTAAGAGCACTGGCTCTCTTGTGACAGAGCACAAAAGGAAGATGGGGTTGCCATGAAGGTAAGAAGTATTTGATTAGTTTTTGATGAATTGCTGCAGCTGAATAAAGCCCTGAGAGCTGGTGACATAAGGGGAATTTGCATCCAATTTGAGGCTCATAGATATGAGCCTACACTTGGACTCTTGCGAGAAAGGGAAGAGCTAAAACTCTTGACGATGTAGGCTCGAAAGAGAAGGGGCTGCAGCTGTAGGAAAGACACAAATCTCCACTAGGACCCTTTTTCCCTAATGGAAAGAAAAAGCCTTATTAAGCCACCTGAAGGAAGGAGATCAAACACTGTCACTCAGGACACAGGTGAAGACTCACTGTGACTTGTGAAAGGGTAAAAGATAAAAACAAAAACAACCAAAAACCCAAACCCTGTATCCCTGGAAAGAGACAGAAAGCTATCTGCACCCAGACTGATATATAGATCTCCTAACTGGGAAAGGGTCAAGAGGCTCTCCTGGAAAAGATTTATCAAAGATACAGCGAAGAGTTTTGCTGCCACAAGGAAGAGAGGCAAGATCACTGAGAGTAATAATCCCAAGATCTAGCCATGGTTCTTTAAGTATCAAAACTACAGAAAAACCTTTAATCATCAAGAGCTCAAAAACTTCTTTCCATTAGTCCTTTTTTTTTTTCTAAGAAATCTGCTAGAAAATATACTTTATTTAAACTACAGCAATTTAGCATTAAGTGTACTTAATTGCAAATCTAAGATCAAAATTAAGGTGAGAAAAAGGTATAATAACAATAGGTTATATGGTAATGCTGTTTGTTACGTGCTGCATGTTCTGATGAATAAAAAATGATGCAACTGAAAATGGGAAGAGAAGGGACATGAAACGAAAAAAGCAGGAGAAAGTCAATAACTAGTATTTAAGCAACAAGTGAAAGTTAAAGAATGTCATTAAAGATGAACAATACAGATTCTAAATAAAAAAATGGGGGGAGGTGCTAAAGGCATTAAAAAAGGTATAAACAAAATGACAACAGAAACAAAAACTTCCTAAATACCAGATTTAAGGTTTTGTTTTTAAAGGATAGCACAGTAAACACATTATAAAGAGAAATGGACTAAATGTAATAAATATAATTACAGCATAAAATATCTGGCAGGGTTAAGAGAAAACATATTCATCTTTCAACACATGTGAAAGGCTTTACTTCACTTACTAAATGGAAAAGATCTTCATTTTGGCTCATAAAAAACCAACTATACGCTCTATTCAAGAGACAAACCTAAAACAATTATTTAGAAAGGATAAAAATAGGCTGGGCATGGTGGCTCATGCCTGTAATCCCAGCACTTCGGGAGGCCAAGGCAGGAGGATTACCTGAAGTCAGGAGTTTGAGACCAGCCTGGCCAACATGGTGAAACCCTGTCTGTACTAAAAATACAAAAATTAGCCAGGCATGGTGGCGTACGCCTGTAATCCCAGCTACTCAGGAGGCTGAGGCAGGAAAAGAGGAAAAGCTTCCATCTAAAAAAAAAAAAAAAAAAAAAGAAAAACAAAAAATAAAGGAATACTCAAAGTTATTCTAGGCAAATGGAAATAAGAAAGCAGAAGCACCAGCTGGGTGTGGTGCCTCATGCTGTAATCCCAGAACTTTGGGCAGCTGAGATGGGTGGATCACCTGAGGTCAGGAGTTTGAGACCAGTCTGGCCAACATGGTGAAACCCCTGTCTCTACTAAAACTATAAAAATTAGCCAGGTGTGGTGGTGGGTGCCTGTAATCCCAACTACTGGGGATGCTGAGGCAGGGAGAATTGCTTGAACCCAAGAGGGGGAGGTTGTGGTTAGCCAAGATGGTGCCACTGCACTCCAGTGAGACTCCAATCTCAAGAAAAAAAGGAAAAAAGAAAGAAAAACAAAAGCAGGAGCACAATATTGATATCGAATGAAGTAGCAAGCAAACCACTGCAGGGAAAGGTTTTGAACTATTTTTCTCAATCCGTTTGCAAAAATGAAAAGGAAATAAAAAGAGAAACTAATGCATCTGATTACATGATAGAATAAATGACAGAAAAAGGCAACATGATAGAAAACATAAAATCAAGACAACTGACAAATTAGGAAAAGTATTTGCAATACTTAAAACAGATAAAGGGCTACTATCCCTAATATATAATAAATCTTAAAGATTAAGGGAAAAAACACTCACCAGTGGAAAAATGTCAAAAAACATATAAAAAATTCACAAAAATTGCTATAAAAGTGGTCCTTAAACATTAAAAAGCATTCAACTATCCTGCTAAAGAGTGAGCAATACATAGCCACATTACACAGAGGTAACCTTTCTCACCCATCTTACTGTCACAGAGAGGTCATGGGAAAATAGGCCTGTCGTACACTGCAGTGGTCATACACAATGGTACAACCTTCACAGAGGGGTTTTTTTTTAACCAAAACTACATATGCATTTACATTCTGACACAACATTCTCACTTCCAGAAATTTACCCTGAAAATATACCTGCAATAACATGAAATATGTACCGCTTTTTCATATGTCCTTTGCAACACTGTAATTGCAAAACATGAAAAATAATCCATATATCCATAGATAAAAGAGTGGTTTGGTAAATTCTTATATATTTACCCAGTGGAGTAACATAAGACAATTTTTTAAATGAGGAAGTTCTCTATGAACAAATCTGCAGTGATTGCCAGGGTGTATTTTAAATGAAAAAGGCAAAGTTCATGTAATTATCTAGGGAATGCTAATTTTTGCGTAAGAAAGAACAGGAGATAAGAAAATAGACATATATTTGTTCCTCTGTGCAAACAGGAACATAGAAATAATTTACCAGGGATTAATGAGATTTATTATCTATAGGGGATGGGTAGGAATGAGGTGGAAAGAACAAACAATGGGAAAGGGGAGAGTTGCTAATCCTCTGAGGATACTATTTTGTGTAGCTCTGACTTCAGGAACAGTGTTGCTGTTTCACATACATAAAAGGAAAAAACCAAAACTACCATGGATGGAGGAAAAATCATTAAAATAAAATACTGTCAGAACCATATAAACTTCACTACATTTCAAATGAAGTACTACATATACTAAACGGAGGAGGGAAACCAATATTCACCCAGGGAACTTTATATTATTTTTAAAATTGAGATATTCACATAATATTTACCCTTTTACAGTGTAGTTCAGTGGATCTTCTATGTTCACAAAGGTGTGCAATCAACACTATTCAATTCCAAAACACATTCATCTTTCTAAAAATAAACGTCAGACCCATTAGCAGGCACTCACTCTTCTTCCCTCTCCCAGCTCCTAGTAACCACTAATCTATTTTCGTTCTCTATGGATTTACTTATTTTGGACATTGCATATAAGTGGAACTGTACTGTGCGTTTGGCTTCTTTCAGTTAGCATTATGCTCTCAAGGTTCATCCATCCACGTTGTAGTGTGTATCAACAGTTCTTTCCTTTATAAGCCCAAATCACAGCCCATTGTATGTATAAATCACACTGTTTACTCATTATCAGATGATGAATGTTTGGGTTGCTTCTTTTTCTTTTTTAAGCTATTATGCCACTATGAACATTCACATTCAAGTTTTTATGTGAACATGTTTTCAATTCTCTTGGGCATGTATGGCTATAGGTGAGAATTCTGGGTGACATGAGGCTTTCATCATGCCTGTGTTGGTACATCTGATAAGTCTCCCACAGATCTCTGAGAATCTGTTCATTAGTTTTGGGCTTTTTTTTTTTGTTTTTTTTTTTTTTTTTGAGACAGAGTTTCGCTCTTGTTACCCAGGCTGGAGTGCAATGGCGCGATCTCGGCTCACCACAACCTCCGCCTCCTGGGTTCAGGCAATTCTCCTGCCTCAGCCTCCTGAGTAGCTGGGATTACAGGCACGTGCCACCATGCCCAGCTAATTTTTCATATTTTTAGCAGAGACGGGGTTTCACCACGTTGACCAGGATGGTCCTGATCTCTTGACCTCGTGATCCACCCACCTCGGCCTCCCAAAGTGCTGGGATTACAGGCGTGAGCTACCGCGCCCAGCCAGTTTTGGGCTTTTCTTCATAATTTCTATCTCATTATTGATGTTCTCTATTAGGTGAGGCATTGTTCTCAGACTTCCTTTTAGCTTATTAGACATAGTGTACTTTGGTTGAACATATTTAAAATAGTGTCTTCAATGTCTTTTTGAGTCTGAAGTTTGGGCTTCCTCAGGGAGTTTCTATTCATTTTTTCCCCCCATCAGTGCATGAACCATTCTTGCTTGTTTTTGTGCATGTCTGATAATTTTGTTTAAAATTGGACATTTTAAGTAACATAATGTTACAACTCTGTAAATCAGATTCCCTTCTCTCGCCAGGCTTTGCTCTTATTGCTATATTTTGGTGTTTAGCGAACTTTCTGAACTATTTATGTGTAAAGTCTATATTCTTTGTTGTGTATGAAATATCTGATTAATATGCTTAGTAGTGTGCTAATAACTGGACAGAGATTTCCTTAAATGCCTGGAATCAATACTTCTCTTTGTACTGGGGAATCTGTGTTGGGGCACAACTTTACTACTTAGCCCCAAGTTAACAGCTTCTCCTTAGCCTTCACTTACTTATGCACTGCCTCAAGGTCAGCCCCTGGTGAGAGTTTAGGGCCTTCTCAGCTTTTCTTGACCGTGTACACAGCTTTATGCACGTACATAATCTCCTTGATTCTAAAAAAATCATAACTTATTAAAGTCCCTATCTTTTAGTTGTTTAGTGACCTTTCTGATCTATTTATGTGTAAAGTCTATATTCTCTGTTGTGTATGATCATTGACATTTCTGATTCATTAAGCTTAGTAGTGTGGTTACTTTGGTTAAAATAGAATAATAGAAAAAACCAACAGAAATTCCCTGAGGAAGCCCAGACTTCAGACTTACTTAAAAAAGACATTAAAGACGCTATTTTAACTTACTTTTTGGTTAACTTACTGTTTACTCCAACTGTTACTGCCTAAGATAGTCTTGATATGTGTATGTCTGTGTGTGTGTGTTTTTAAATGTTTCTGAAAAACAATCTCTGGGAAAAAGCTAATCTCATTGGGTAAGCTCTAACTCAGATGAAACAAAGACAGCAAGTCAAGTTTTCCAGTGAACCATCAGGCAGGTCAAATAATGACAGTTCTCAGGGAATGTTGTCTAAGAAACTCCAATCTTGCTCTGAAGTCCTTCCAGTGGCTGCCAGGCTGCTGTTTTCCACTATGATCATGGGCTGTTGGTTTTCACAACTACCATGAATCTAGGAAGCAGGAGATTAGAATAGAGCAAGGTTTCACAATGATCCCTATTCTTAACAAGATTTAATTCAAGATTCAAGATTTAGATATTTTTTCTGTAGTAAATCCTTCTTAAATTGATGCAAGCCTTTGGTTAATTCTAGAGTTCTGAAAAAGTTGATTCTGATAGTTTAGACAATTTTCTTATTGCTTTTAGAGAGAAAATTATTTTTGGATGTTTGTACTCTGACATTTTAGCTGTTATTACCCCAGATAACTTTTAAAGAGCTCTAAACAAATATTGAACCCTTTGGCTAGTAGGCTTCTGTTATGCAGAGCTATCACTTAGCAACTTTGAAACTAACTTGTGTACGGACAGACGCTAGGGGTGAACTTTCAAAATACGTAAATATTATCTTCGATAATGGTAATCCATTTTCTCACTATTAGAGAAAGGACTTACATGTCAAAAGGACATGGCTCCCACTGGCCAAATTAAGTAGAATTTGAGCATCAAAATAAATAATGAAGGACTTATATTTTGACCATTAAAGAATAACAGGGACTAGATTTTCCCTTCTATATTAAACTAGAAAACTGGACAAAGTATACCAAACAACAGTTTTCAGAAAGTGGACAACAGGTGGCAAAGGATAACCAGAACTGACAGAGACAAACAAGAGTTGAGTGCTGTAAGTACACCAGCTCACTGCCTGAAGTTTCCAAACTGTAGTGCAGAGAGAAGAACCCCAAAGATCTCAGTGGCCTGACTGACATTAGAGAGAGACCTCAGAGTTCAGAAAAGCCAATGTGGTTAGAATTTGTGAGGCAAAATACTAGAGGAAGGAAATACACAGAAAAAGTGCTCCAAAGATCTGTAGAAGGTTCTTTCAAGTCTTCAGTAGAACAACCAGTGTATGATGTACAAAGAATACACTAAGGCCAGGAAAAAACCGAAATACTAGAAAGGAGTTAGTGGAACTATGCCTTACACAAACCCAAGTATAGTTTGTGTTCTGACCAGCCACTGCAGAAAGATTTCCTAAGAGATAAAGTATCAGGTAGAGTTCCTAAAATGGTAATGCCTCGTACTGAAGTCAGATGAAATCTAGACCAGGGTTTCTCAACTTTAGCACTGTTAGAATTTTGGGCTAAAAAATTCTTTGTGTATATATATTATAGACAGCTTAGCAGCATCCTTGGCCTGTATCTGCTAGATGTAGCCACCTCCCACCCCTCACCCTTGACTATTCGAAATATCTCCAAATGATGTTGCCAAATGTTGCCTGGAGGGGTTGAAAATTGCTCCAAATTGAGAACCAATGACCTAGATTAATGATTCTTCTAGACCCATTCTAACAGCGCAAACTTCAAAATGACTAATCTGATTCTAAGTAACTTAATTGCATCCCAGAACGAAGTCCAACAGTACTTAGAACAAAATCTAATAACTAACAGCTAACACACTTAACACTCTTCCCTCTTAACTTTTTACTTGGACCCTAACTCCTTCCAGTTGGGGTAAAAAGTCTTGGACGGACTTTGCAGTGTGAAGGATAGTGACCCCAACTTGACAGTCTGGCAAACTCTGGGTAGGTACAGAGACATTTTCCTGTTATTTTGTTTTTTGGCAGTCTGAAATTATGTCAAAATAAAATTTAAAAGAAAGTACAAAAACAATTTATGCATTCAACACAGGAAATGTAATTTTCTCTCTGCATAATCTCTTGAATTTCATCATTCTATTTATCTAAGTTCTTTTTTTTTTTTTAAGACAGAGTCTCACTGTATTGTCCAGACTGGGGTGCAATGGTGTGATCTTGGCTCACTGCAATCTCTACCTCCGAAGTTCAAGTGATTCTCATGCCTCAGCCTTCTGAGTAGCTGGAATTACAGGTGCTCACCACCACACCTGGCTAATTTTTTATATTTTTAGTAGAGACGAGGTTTTGCCATATTGGCCAGGCTGATCTTGAACTCCTGGCCTCTAGGGATTTGCCTGCCTTAGCTTCCCGAAGTACTGAGATTACAGGCATGAGTCACCATGCCCAGCTGAGTTATCTAAATTCTTGAAATAAGTAGAGATGACTCTTGAGAGTTTGTGAATACACGTTAACCATATGGCCGCCTCTGCCATTAAAGGCACTAATGTGCAGGAAACATAGATTAGCATTATTAAGTTTATCAAGAACCCTGAAATTTTTCCTAGCAAAAGTGAAACATTTGAAAGGATTAAAAAAATTCTTTTTTCCTTTTAAATAGCAGTACTGTGATGTGTAAAGCAGTCCTTTCCTCAGTGAGGCATCTTATAGTTCTTGGCTTAGCCATCAGTGGAAATGTTCTTTTAATCCTACCACCTTCAGAATTTGTTCTTAAGAATCAGAATCTATGATTCCTCAAACATTTTGAAATAAGACTATATAGTCAAATAACTAGGTAATATTCTTGATTTAATGAAAATATTTATATGCAGTGAAACATAAATTATTGGTTGTATTGCTACATTTAAATAATTTGCTTAAGTAACTAAAATACAATTAAGAATCCTCAAATTGTCCTAGACAACTATTTTAGAATCAAAAAGTACATGATCATAAGCACTTGAAACTATAATAAAATTAATATTTATTTAATTAGCTGTACATCCATAATAAAAGTTACTAGTTTGCTAACAAGAATGATTTTTAACAATAGTGATCTGGTTTAAATAGCTATGATTTCCTGTTTCCATTATTACTTAAAAATACATATTGACATTTATTTTTAAGGACACAACAGAGCTCAACCAGTAAAGCACATGTCATGATAAGCACTAATGAGAAAATATGAGACCACTATAATCCCCAAATTACTGAATAAGGGAAACAGTCTGAGGGATATTATTAAAAATCAACTTAAGTACATATTGGATTTGTGAAAGGTCTATGTAAACATAACTTGAATTTACTTAACAAAAAAAAAGGAAATACAAAAACACTGCAATTCCTCTCAAGAGACTTATTCAAACATGAATTTAAGTAATAGCTGCAGGGCAAGGGCTGAGAAAGCCAGGCATGGTGGTGCATTCACCTGCAGTCTCAGCCCTTTGGGAGGCAGAGGTAGGAGGATCACTTGATGCCAGGAGTTGCCCAGGCAACAGAGTAAAACCCTATCTTAATTTTTTTTTTTTTAGATGGAAAAGTTCACAGAAGATGTACTAATCAATCATCAAATGTAATTTTCTTCCCCTGAAACACAGCAATGTTAGACTGCTGTTCTTTTCGCCTTCTGCTTGCTTCCCATGAAGGATGAAGAGGCAGCAGCAATTGCTGTTTCGTATTTTCAAGTTTTCTTTGTAGTTTTTTATTAAAATGATTCTTGATCTGAGGTTCATTCTGTGGAAAATCTAGGAAGAGAAAACAAAAATAACTAACTACATACCTAAAGAGCATACAGGAGAAGTACATTTCATCTTTTCCAAACCAACATTAAAAAAACAAAATTTTGATTTCTTAAATGGAATATTTCACAATTTAAAACTGAAGTCCAACAGGGAATAGTTTGAAGTTGAAAATTTACATATGAGCAGTCAATTCTGAATACAAGATTTCTTTTTTTTTCTTAAATTTATTTATTATACTTTAAGTTCTGGGGTACATGTGCAGATTGTGCAGGTTTGTCACATAGGTATACACATGCCATGGTGGTGGTTTGCTGCATCGGTCACTCTGTCATCTATATTAGGTATTACTCCTAATGTTATCCCTCCCCAATTCCCCCTCCCTCTGCTATTCCTACCCTAACCCCCCACCCCCCAGGCCCCGGTGTGTGATGTTCCCCTCCCTGTGTCCATGTGTTCTCATTGTTCAACACACATTTAAGAGTGAGAACATGTGGTGTTTTTCTGTTCCTGTGTCAATCTGCTGAGAGTGATGGTTTCCAGATTCATCCATGTCCCTGCAAAGGAAATGAACTCATCTTTTTTTATGGCTGCATACATTTATATGTGCTACATTTTCTTCATCCAGTTTATCACTGATGGGCATTTGGGTTGGTTCCAAGTCTTTGCTATTGTAAACAGTGCCACAATGAACATATGTGTGCATGTGTCTTTGTAACAGAATGATTTATAATCCTTTGGGTATATACCCAGTAATGGGATTGCTGGGTCAAATGATATTTCTATTTCTAGATCCTTGAGGAATCCCCACACTGTCTTCCACAGTGGTTGAATTAATTTATACTCCCACCAACAGTGTAAAAGCATTCCTATTTCTCCACATCTTCTCCAGCATGTTTCCTGATTTTTTTAATGACTGCCATTCTAACTGGTGTGAGGTGGTTTATCTCAATGTGGTTTTGATTTGCATTTCTCTAATGACCAGTGATGATGAGCTTTTTTTCATATGTGTGTCAGCTGCATAAATGTCTTCTTTGAAAAGTGTCTGTTCATATCCTTTGCCCACTTTTTGAAGGGGTTGTTTTTTTCTTGTAAATTTGTTTAAGTTTTCCGTAGATTCTGGATATTAGCCCTTTGTCAGTCGGGTAGATTGTAAACATATTTTCCCATTGTTTTGGTTGCTGGATCACTTTATTGATAGTTTTTCTTGCTGTGCAGAAGCTCTTAAGTTTCATTAGATTCCATTTGTCTATTTTGGCTTTTGTTGTCATTGCTTTTGGTATTTTAGTCATGAGGTCCTTGCCCATGCTTATGTCCTGAATGGTATTGCCTAGGTTTTCTTCTAGAGTTTTTATGGTGTTAGGCCTCATGTTTAAGTCTTTAATTCATCTAGAGTTAACTTTTGTATAAGGTGTAAGGAAGGGATCCAGTTTCAGCTTTCTGCATATGGCAAGCCAGTTTTCCCAACACCATTTATTAAATAGGGGATCCTTTCCCCATTGCTTGTTTTTGTCAGGTTGATCAAAGATCAGATGACTGTAGTTTTGCAGCATTCTTTCTGAGGCCTCTGTTCTGTTCTATTGGTCTATATATCTGTTTTGGTACCAGTACCATGCTGTTTTGATTACAGTCACCTTGTAATATAGTTTGAGGTCAGGTAGCATAATGCCTCCAGCTTTGTACTCTTTGCTTAGGATTGTCTTGGCTATGCGAGCTCTTTTTGGTTCTATTTGAAGTTTAAGGTGGTTTTTCCCAATTCTGTGAAGAAAGTCTTTGGTAGCTTGATGGGGATAGCATTGAATCTCTAAATTACTTTGGGCAGTTTGGTCATCAATGAGATTGATTCTTTCTAACCATGAGCATGGAATGTTTTTCCATCTGTTTGTGTCCTCTCTTATTTCCTTGAACAGTGGTTTATAGTTCTCCTTGAAGAGGTTCTTCACATCCCTTGTTAGTTGTATTCCTAGGTATTTTATTCTTTTTTTTAGCAATTGCAAATGGGAGTTCACTATGATTTGGCTCAGTCTATTATTGGTGTATAGGAATGCTTGCTATTTTTGCACATTGATTTTGTATCCTGAGACTTTGCTGAAGTTGCTTATCAGCTTAAGGAGATTTTGGGCTAAGACGATGGGGTGTTCTAAATACACAATCATGTCATCTCCAAACAGGGACAATTTGATGCCCTTTCTTCCTATTTGGATAGGCTTTATTTCTTTCTCTTGCCTGATGGCCCTAGCCAGAACTTCCAATACTATGTTGAATAGGAGTGGTGAAAGAGGGCATCCTTGTCTTGTGCCAGTTTTCAAAGTGAACGCTTCCAGTTTTTGCCCATTCAGTATGATATTGGATGTGGGTTTGTCATAAGCAGCTCTTATTATTTTGAGATATGATCCATCAATACCTAGTTTCTAGAAAGCTTTTAGCATAAAGAGCTGTTGAATTTTGTCAAAGGCCTTCTCTGCATCTATTGAGATAATCATGTGGTTTTTGTCTTTGGTTCTGTTTATGTGATGGATTATGTTTATGATTTGCAGATGTTGAACCAGCCTTGCATCCGAGGGATGAAGCCAACTTGATCATGATGGATAAGCTTTTTGATGTGCTGTTGGATTGAGTTTGCCAGTATTATTATTGAAGATTTTTATGTCAATGTTCATCATGGATATTGGCCTGAAATTTTCTTTTTTAGTTGCATCTCTGCCAGGTTTTGGTATCAGGATGATGTTGGTCTCATGAAACGAGTTAGGGAGTATTCCCTCTTTTTGTATTGTTTAGAATCGTTTCAGAAGGAATGGTATCAGCTCCTCTTTGTATTTCTGGTAGAATTTGGCTGTGAACCCATCTGGTCCTGTACTTTTTTTGGTTGGTAGACTATTAACTGCTGCCTCTACTTCAGACTTCATTATTGGTTTATTCAGGAATTCAACATCTTCCTGGTTTAGTCTTGGGAGGATGTAAGTGTCCAGGAATTTATCCATTTCTTCTAGATTTACTGGCTCATTTGCATAGAGGGTTGTAGTAATCTCTGGTGGTAGTTTGTATTTCTGTGGGATTGGTGGTGATATCCCCTTTATCATTTTTTATTGCTTCTATTTTGAATCTTCTCTCTTTATTAAATTAGTCTGGCTAGTGGTTTATCTATTTTATTTAAAAAAAAAACAGCTTTTGGATTTACTGAGTTTTTGAAGGATTTTTTTGTGTCTCCATCTCCTTTAATTCTGTTTTGATCTTAGTTATTTCTTGCCTTCTGCTAGCTTTTGAATTTGTTTGATCTTGCTCTTCTAGTTCTTTTAATTGTGAAATTAGGGTGTTGATTTTATATCTTTCCTTGCTTCTCTTGTGGGCATTTAATGGTATAAAATTCCCTCTAGACACTGCTTTAAATGTGTCCCAGAGATTCTGGTACACTGTAACTTTGTTCTCATTGGTTTCGAAGAACATCTTTATTTCTGCCTTCATTTCATTATTCAGTAGTCATTTAGGAGCAGGTTGTTTAGTTTCCATGTAGTTGTGAGGTTTTGAGTGAGTTTCTTAACCCAGAGTTCTAATTTGATTGCACTGTGGTCTGAGAGGCTATTATGATTTCCGTTCTTTTGCATTTGCTGAGGGGTGTTTTAATTCCAATTATGTGGTCAATTTTAGAATAAGTGCAATGTGGTGCTGAGAAGAATGTATATTCTGTGGTTTTGGGATGGCGAGTTCTGTAGATCTCTATTAGGTCCGCTTGGTCCAGATCTGAGTTCAAGTCCTGGATATCCTTATTAATTCTGTCTCATTGATCTGTCTAGTATTGATAGTGGGTGTTAAATTCTCCCACTATTATTGTGTGGGAGTCTAAAGTCTTTTTGTAGGTCATTAAGAACTTGCTTTATGTATCTGGGTGCTCCTGTATCAGGTGCATATACAGTTAGGATAGTTGGCTCTTCTTGTTGCATTGATGCCTTTACCATTATGTAATGTCCTTCTTTGACTCTTGATCCTTGTTCGTTTAAAGACTGTTTTGTCAGAGACTAGGATTACAACCCCTGCTCTTTTTTCCTCTCTATTTGCTTGGTAAATCTTCCTCCATCCCTTTATTTTGAGCCTATGACACACATGCTTTCTATCCCTTATAATTAGATACTTATTGAGTGCCTCTTAATTTATGCCATGCTGTCTTATTTATAATAACATAAAGAAAGAAATCTCATTGTTGTACTAGCATAGAAAAAAGAAAGGCATCTGGTATTTTCAAAGGAGCATCTTTAGCTTATGATATCTGTGCTCATGAAGCAGATGTAGCTAGAAAATTCACATTTCAGCTAAGACACTCCACTGGGTCCGACAATACTGATAGTGTTTACTTATTTCACTCCTGTCTGTTACCGAACCAAAAGTTGTTATTAGAAGGAAAATTACTAAGTCTGCTCAAGAATATAAGACACAATTCTTTATTAGTTGTAATGTTATTCTCCAGATACAAAGGTGGCAACTTGTACACTAGTCCTTACAGTATATTATCACTTTACATATTTTGAACCAAGTCTTATTTGGAGAAGATACACTAGCATGAAAAGACATAAATCAATGCACATTTTAAGTAATCAGAAAGAAAAAGAAAGGCAAAAAACTTAATATAGGCTTATTAATCAGTCTTAGGAGTATGTGATTTCTCTGCTGCAAGTTAGACATCATTGTCAGAAGCTTTTTAAAGACCTCTTTAGGAAAACAAAATATTTTATATAAACCAGTGTATAGTTTGGGATATTTACAAAACATTATGTAGACAGAAATCAAAACATCCCTTATCTTACACAAATCACATGTGCTCTAGAAATCTGTTATAATGTTCAAAGAGTGGCTCTAGTGATGAAAAGTTTAAAAAAAGATTTCATGAAAACTGAGATTTCAATAAAGCAGTATTTCTAAATGAATATATTATTTTATATATTACATAAATTAGAATTGTAAATGTAAATAAACTCGTAAATATTTTAAGCATACAAACTAAGCACAAAAAAAAACCCTTTACTTGGATATTCTCACTGTGAAAATGTAGGTATGTCTTATATTTACAGTTACCCTATGTTTGTGAATATATGGTAAAAATGGGGCATACTGATGTGTTTCTGCCAAATCCTGTATTATCTTCCTTTTTTGGGCATACAATTAGAATATATTTTCCATTCTTGCTGCAGTTATGTGACGTCCCATGGCTGAATTATGGCTAATAAAATGTGAGTAAAAGGCCTGAACCATAAAAACCTCACCTTCAATCTTCCATTACTTCTCTATCACTGATGAATGAAGAGGATCCAGAGGAGGGAAGAGGCACAAGATAGAATAAAACTCTGAGGGGCAGACAGACTGATGGATGACAAAACACTGAGATTTAGTAGTTACTTGTTATAGCAGGTAGTCTACTATGAATAATACTAAAATTGGTACTCTGAAGTAACATTTCAGTAACATAAAAATTTGGCATTGGTTTAGCAGTTCAGTGGTAGGTAGCAAGGAAATAGATATCTGAGAATGGGAAGTAAGGAAACCTATGTGCCAAAGAAATAGGGAAAGCTGTTATCAGTGATTACTTGGCAAGTAGGCCACAAGCCTATGGAGTTTGCAGTACAAAGGTAACCGGTGGGAAAGAAAGTATCAGTATATTACTGGCGGTCCTTGACAATATACTATATAAAAGGGAACAGACGGAACAGAAAGAATCCAGATATTTGGGAACTCAATGTTTAGAAAATCCTTGGATTCCCAAACAGTAGGCTATAAGACTAAGAAAAGTTTTAAGTAATAAAGGTCCACAGCAACTCAGCCCTAGAGCAGAGATAAGACTTGATGTATGGCTACAATATGACTAAATGTAGGGCTGCAATTCCCATCCAAACCTGATAATTCTCAATGCAATTGATGCTGAATGCGAGTGGGAGTGGGAAAAACAAAACAAAACACAATCAAACATAAATACAAGTTTGAGAACTAGCTCTAGGAAAGAATTTCCAGTACAGCAGCTAGCTGACAGATGGACTGAGGGAAACAGAGGTCAGAAATCCACTGAGTTTTTGAGGAAGTATACAATGAAAGAAATCACAAACCTGGGATGGAAAAAAGCCTCTGTTGAACTTTGTACAAATTTTCATCACTTTATATCTGTACCAGTGACTTGGGGCAAACTCCAAAGAGATTATGTTAAATACCCACTTCAGAAGTAGCCATGAAACAAAGACCCTTCCTAGACAGGACCAAGAACAATGGATAAGGAGGTTCCTCTCAGAGCCTTCGTAATCTTTGCTTAGCAGAATTTCAGGTAATATATCTGTTGTGTGCCTTCCATCTTTCACTTAACAAATCAAGAGTTTTTATTGTCATTACCTTATCCCTTTTCTGCTACTCTATATGTGGTATATCATGGTATGAATTTCTTTTTGGTACGAAAGTCACCAAACTTTGAGGAATCCCACCCATGAGATTTGATGAAAAGTACTGTATCACCAGTGATCCTGGACTTTGAGCTGGATGCAGTGACTGGATGTGATTTCGGGTTGGCTTCCTTGGGAAGGAGGTCAGTGTGCTCTGTGTAGGAGGAAACGTGAAATAAGCATCTGGTGACAGAGAGAACTGTCACTAGCAGAAAAGTTTATGTGTTCACGAAATTCCACTTCCTCTTTTCTCCTAGATATATAGTAAGACTACATTTCTTAGCTCCTTTGTTGCTAGATGGGGTCATGTGACTGAATTTGGGTTAATGATAATGTGAACAGAACTGACTTTTGCTACTTTCAGGCCTGGCTCATAAAAACCTACAAAATTCTCCATGTACTCCATCCCTTCTATTGGCAAATAGAGAATACTTGGAACCTGGAGGAGTAAGGAGCCAAAAGATGGAAGAAACCTGATTCTTAAATGACTATGTAAAAAAGTACCTCTCTAATTCATCAAGTGGACTGTGATGTAAATGAGAAATGAATTTTTGCTGTTAAGTCAGTGAAAGTCTGAGATTGTGTAAGAAGTTGGTGTACCCAAATATGTTAAACTTAGAATTGTTATGAATTAATCTGAAAATATTCTGATTATACTCTTACCCAAGAAAGTAATATACTTGTTATTCAATGTTTAATGGAATGGCATTAGTAATTAGATCACTAATAATTCAGATATAACTTACATAGTTTACTTAAAAATGTGTTAATTTGAGATAAGTTAAATAGACATAATATTTCCTGATAAACTTTGTCTATATCTTTCCCTCTGGCAGGACACAGAAAAAAAAGAAAACCAAACACAAAAAATTATACTGATAATTATAAGATGCTCTGTTAATATTTCTGTGGGTACATCATTCATTCAGGCTATATTAAGCAATCACAATTTTTCATTCTTTCACTTTGGCAAAACATAGCTTAATTGTATATGGAGGTCAGGCAACTGTGAATACATACCTACGGATCTGGTTTTTGGAGCCTGTTCTTTGTAATTTCTAAAAGAAGAAAAACACCATTATGACTTTAAAAAAATAAATCCTCTGATCTTAAGAACATAACAAAACTGATGATGAAACTAATTCAAAGGCTATTATACTCCTTAGTCACACCAGCAAACAATGAAATAATTATGAAAGCCCCAGGTTTTAGCTATATCAAACAAAAGTTTGTTAGAATCCAATGCTACTACAGACACATGAGGACCTATTTCTCTCATCACCCTTAAAGAGAATTCTGTTTGAAAAGAAAATATCTTATCTTGGTTACTTTGCCTTTACTCTTGGGGACTATCTTGATAAAGAATTTCTAACAAAAACTAACATTTACATTTTGGCTGGCCGTGGTGGCTCATGCCTGTAATCCCAGCACTTTGGGAAGCTGAGGCAAGTGGATTACAAGATCAGGAGTTTGAGACCAGCCTGGCCAATATGGTGAAACTCAATCTCTACTGAAAAAATCAAAAACAAAAATTAGCCAGGCGTGGTGGTGGATGTTGTGTCCCAGCTACTCAGTAGGCTGAGACAGGAGAATTGCTTGAACAAGGTAGGCATAGGTTGCAGTGATCACACCACTGCACTCCAGCCTGGGTGACAGAGGGAGACTATGTCTTCCCCCCCCCAACCAAAAAAAAAAGGATTTACACTTTGTGGTATGCCATTTTCTTTCTTTCTTTTTTTTTCTTTGAGATGGAGTTTCGCTCTTGTTACCCAGGCTGGAGTGCAATGGAGATCTCGGCTCACGGCAACCTCCGCCTCCTGGGCTCAGGCAATTCTCCTGCCTCAGCCTCCTAAGTAGCTGGGATTACAGGCACGCGCCACCGTGCCCAGCTAATTTTTTGTATTTTTAGTAGAGACGGGGTTTCACCATGTTGACCAGGATGTCTCAATCTCTTGACCTCGTGATCCACCGCGCCTGGCCCTGGTATGCCATTTTCAAATAGGAAAAAAATGCAGCTTTTGAGGCAAGTTTGGAAAATATAAGTAAATATTTTACTTATTTCAATGCTCCACACATTTTTATGTCTTTGCTATACTGTGACATTTTTGAAAATTTTTTATATCACATTTTTCTCTTTCAGTAAAGACTATCCCAGACTTGTAAATAAATGCAAAACAGTTTATAGCTGTTACTGAAGAAATTAGCTAACCATGGTCTTCTAATGTCTAAATGGGATTATACAGTAAAATGATTGATGTTTACAATAATGGTCCTGGGTCATCATGAAAAAACACCATATTCTTTTCAGAAATTTCTGTTTAAAAAGATATATAAAATATTTTCAAAAGTTTTTCACTAAAAAGGATTTCAAAATTTCAAAACTTTGATAAATAAAGGAATAAAATTAAATTAGCCTGAATATTATTTGGCTACAGCATCTTGTTTTTTGATGAAACTGGACAAATGTGGCATTGCCATATGTATATCTGTACCTAATATCCCACTATAACATTGGAGAGGGCCAGGTCTAAAAATAGGATGGGTTGTATAAACTAGAATTATAATCTCTTCATGTATGAACATGTAGATATTTCTAGCATTTAAAAAAAGAATTAATGATTATTTTGCCATATGTGTATCTATACCTAATATCCCACTAAAACCTTGGAGAAGGCCAAGTCTAAAAACAGGATGGGTTGTACAAACTAGAATTATAGTCTCTTCACATATGGGCAAGTAGGTATTTCTAGCTTTTTAAAAAGAAACTAATTATTATTTCAGAATAGGAAAAAGAATCTTACCTTCTAGAGCTTTTAGATCCAGATAAAGAGTGGAAAAACACTGATTCCAACTTTCTGGTTTCTGTATTTGGCTTGGCTGTGTCATTTCTTGTATCCCCATGAGTTTCACCTCTATCTTCTTTAAGTAATACTTTTTCGAGTGGTTTTTGTTCCTTAACTGAATAATGACGACTACTTTCCTTCTTTCGTGTCCGTCTGACTTTCCCAATGAAAAAGTCATCACCACTATCGCTATCTTCAGACATGGAAGATTGTTTGTAAAACCTTTCTTCTGTGCTATCATCAAAATACTCCCTCTCCTCTTCACATGATTCTTCTCCGCCATCACTGTTACCACAGAGTGAGCTATCAGATCTTTTGGTTTTTTTGGTTTGACTTAGTGTTTTCAGTGTTGCGTCAGGAGGTGTCTTCTGGGACTCTCGGGAAACTACAGAATTTTTTTCTGAAGGCTTTGATGGAGAATTTTGAATAGTCACAGCTTTAGCTCCATGTTCTACCTTGGTTATTTTTTCCTTTGAATTATTTGTTGGTTTCTTTGCCAGTATTTTGGTTTCTTTCACTTTTTGCTCACTGATAATAGTTCCTTCATGCTGTGAATTATTTCCATTATCATTTGAATACAAAGTATTCTTAGAATGATTGTCCTCTGAAGTATTCTTTGATGACTCAACTTCAGCAACATTTTGTCTTGCATCCTTAAAGGCTTGGACAGCAGCTGCAACAGAAACAATGCATGATTTATTTTAGCAGGGAAACATATGAAACATGACTGTTTTAGAAGACTATTTTAAAAATTATTTGAAAAGATCTAAGAGGGCAATTGGAATGGATATAAAGTACATATAATGGGTCTGAATTCACAAAAAAATCTTTCAACTTCTTAAAAACCAAACATAGTGGCTCACGCCTGTAATTCCAGCACTTTGGGAGGCTGAGGCAGGTGGATCAGGAGGTCAGAAGTTCAAGACCACCCTGTCCAATATGGTGAAATCCCATCTCTACTAAAAATACAAAAATTAGCCGGGCGTGATGGTGTGTGCCTGTAATCCCAGATAGTCGGGAAGCTGAGGCAGAGAACTGCTTGAACCCGGGAGGCGGAGGTTGCAGTAAGCAGAGGTTGCAGTAAGCAGTAGACTGCGCCACTGCACTCCAGCCTGGGTGACAGGGCGAGACTCCATCTCAAAAAAAATCAAAAAACAAAAACAAACAAACAAATCTAACATATGATATGCTCAGACGTATTCATTTTAAATTGTGAAAATTAAAAGAAAATCCTTTCCTTATGTCTTGGAGTTACAAAGAACAGTAAAAACCTCACAGAACACAAATAAATAAAAGGAAATGGCAACTTTAATTTCTATAGTAATAACGGATTGAGTATTATAAATTGTGCTTACAGATATAAAAATCAATGTAAGATGTGACAAAAACATTTCATTTTATAAATATTTTATAATAAATGCATATAAATGAAAATTATGTGACTAAATGGCAAAACCAAAAGTAATGAGTTATGTCAGTATTTAAAAAAACTATTCATCTTTATCATGTATATATTATATATAAAACCATATATATTATATATTCATATATTAGGAATTTATTAAAAAATACAGATTTGGTTTTTCATCAGAGATCATAGATACTTTCTGTATTTTCAGAAACCTTTTACCTTGGTAAATATGTGAAAGAAAATTACATTTATAATAATCCTTGAGGTTAAAAGAACCATAAAAATATTTAAAGTAAGTGATAGCCATTATCCAAAGTCTACATATACATTAAGTACATTGCTTAAAAGTCACTTAATTCATACCTTTTAGGACATCTATCTTTTTCTTCAGAAGCGGATGTACTGCCAGTCTGGCAATTGCTCTTTCAGTTGCAGTAGAATCTGGCTGCAAATTAATGTTAGGAAATAAAGACACTATTGAAAGTGAATAAAATAAAATCTTTAAAATTAGAGTTGGAGAATAGAACCAGTTAATACTCTCCTTAGATAACTTATCTGTATAATCAATCCATGCTAATGACAAAGATCATTCAGACAAAAATATTACTGACTGAACAATTAAAATTATTATTTAATTATTAATAAATATTCTTTGGATACTTAATTGTAATAAGCACCATGTGTAACATTAAAAAAAAACATAGTTTTTACTATCAAAGAACTTAACTGATCTAATTAAGAAAACTAAATATCAAAGAATGAAATAATATATTAGTGCTAAACTGGGTGAGACTACTGCAATACTTGAAGTCCCATTTAACAGAGACCTAGAAATTATCTAATGTTCTTTATTTCTATTTTAAACATCTACTATCACAGCCACATTCTCAGGGCATAGAACAATGCTTGGATCTAGAAAATAAGTTATAAATATTTGATGATGACTGAATGGGAATATTATTTACAATATTCAATATATTTATACATTTTGGAAACATCAAAATGCCAGCTAATTACTTGAAATGCCATATAAAGGCTGACAACATCTAAATTTCGACCTCTAGCTTCAACCTGAGCTCTAAGCTGATACATCAAACCACCTAACTTGACATCTATTTGACATTGTCACAACTGAATTTTTTGCTTTTTTTTCTCACAAATCTGTTTCGCCTATAGCTTTTCTATCTTACTGTATGTAATTTCCATTCTTCTGGCTGTTCAGGCCTAAAACTCTAAGGATTCTTTTCCAATATTTCTCTATCTCAAAACTCACAATACAATACATCCCCTGTGATTCCAAATGTAAAATATATCCAGAACCAGTCACTTCTCACCATTTCTAACTCTTTGCCTAAATCACCAACACCTCTCACCTGGACCAACATAATAAGCTTATACCTGGTCACTTTCCTTTGCAACTTGCTTTCTTAACAGTCAATTTTCCAGGTAGCAGCCACAGTAATTTTTAAAAATATACTCAAATCATGCTAATTCCGTATCTGTTCTTCTTTAAACTTTACTGCCTTAAGATGCTTAGGCCATACCATTGCAATCTCTTCTTTACCTGGAATACTCTGCTCCCAAATATATACATGGCTGATCATCTCATTGTATTCAGGTCTCTATTTAGATGCCATCTCAACTAGCACAACACTTCCCATCACTATTTACTTCACATCACTTATGTTTTCATATCCATGAGGCAGAGACTTCATTTGCCTCATTGCTGTAAATTCAACGCCTAGAACAGTAATTGGTATTAATAGTAGGCACCCAATATACATTTAATAAAGCAAGTCAATAAATTTCACTAGTGTGTGAAAGTAGAACAACCAGTATCAAATTCTTTATTCTAAATTTAGCCTTCATTGTGATTAGCAAAATATAAGGCATTTCCAACTCAGTAATATAAATGTATGGATACAAAATAAAAACAAGATGATGGCAGTATGCAAGCTATTCTATTTGGAGGATTTATCTGAGTAATGTCACTCAGAAAATAATTTGTTTAAATTACTCCTGGTGTAAATTCTGTGCCAGGAACACCTGCTATTAATTACCTTGGGTACTAGGTTGAATAATATCCTGCCAAAATTCATGTCCAAAATTCTGGAAACTTGGAATGTGAACTTAGTTGGAAATAAAATCTTTGCAGATGAAATTATTATGGAATCGCAGTGGATCAGGGTGGTCCTAAGTCTAGTATGACTGGTTTCCTTATAAAAAGAAGAGCATTTAGATATAGGGGCACAGAGAGACATAGTGAAGACTACGTGAAAACTAAGGCAGAGATTGGAGTTATCTTGCCATCAGCCACCAGTAGCTGGAAGACGCAAGGAAGGTTTCTCCTCCGGAGCTTTCAGAGAAAGCATGTCCTCACTGACATTTTAATTTCAAGCTTTCACCCTCCTCAACTGTGAGAAAATAAATTCATGTAGTTTTTAAACCACTCAATTTATGATACTTCATTATGGCAGCCTCAGGAAACTGATACACCTCTATTCTGACTATTAGACATAGCTTCTGTTCAATCTTTTCCAAGAAATGTAGTCTACTTATAGACCGTTAAGTACAGCACAAAGTGAACCTCTGTCTCTTCAGCCCACTGCTGGGTTTCCTGATATAAAACAGGAAAGACAGAAGAGAATTTAGGAAGGAAGCCTACTGCTAGTATCCTGAGTCACTTAGTGACAAGCTGGGCTGCTGAAGGAATAGGTCAAACATGCTTGCCAAAGTATTAAAAGCTAGATTATAAAAACCCCAATGAAGAACATGATCTTTTCAGGCTAAAAAGACTGAAAACAATACATGAAAATAGAGAGTCATATCAGTATATTATGACCTACAAGATTTCAAATAAAGAAAACCAAGTCACCAAATAATAACCTAAAAAGAAATGGTACACAGATCACAATGGTTCCAGACTTTACTTCTGGAAGCCAAACTACAGAGCAGCTAATGCTTCTAAAATTCTGAAGGAAAAGAATTTCCAACCTAGGAAGGAAGAAAAATACTTCCACATACAATTTTTTTTTAATTTACATCCCTTGTACATTTCTGTCCAAGAAGCTACAGGACAATGAGGAAGGATACAAATAATAAGAAAGGCATAGGAGACAAGAAACAGAAGACCCAGGCAGGAGTAATTTCCCAGGATGATGGTGACACGAGACTTAGGTTTGGGATACTTGGTGTGTTGAATATCTGGAGAGGACATGTCAATAGCAGATGGACAGTTTGGTGTTACACTAGAGATAAGACAGAAAACTAACAAACCTATCACAAACTAGAAAACAATATTATGCAGAAAAAGAAAACAATCACTCAGTACATGACTCACAGTCACAATAACATAATCACTAAATGTTCATCAAATCTGATTCAAGTATGTAAGAAGGATGGAGGGGTATGGAGGAGGATACCTCTTTTCCAGAAGAAAAGAGGTGTCTAAATCCTTACCTACCACAACATAAAGTTAACAGCTAGTGCTTAAGATGAAAAAGTTAACACAGTACTAATAAGATAATATAAACATCTTGTTGTAGGGGTAAATTCTGTATGAACCAACTGCAATTGAAGCAGGAAAGGAATAATAGAGTAGTGCCATTTTTACAAAAAAAATTACTGTAGAAGTATTTGATTTTCAAAACCAGGAATTGCAAATTGGCCCACGAGGGCAGTTCCAGCCTGCTGCCTGTTTTTTTTTTTTTTTAAATAAAATTTTATGGGAACAAAGCCAAACTCCTTCATTTATATATCGTTTATGGCTGCACTCATGGCACCATGGCAAAGCAAAGTAGTTGTGACAGAAGCTGTCTGTCTTACAAAGGCATTCGTTTTAGGTCCTTTACAGAAAAACTGTGATGCTTGCTTTAAATTACATGTGAGTAAATCCTAAAAAAAATCAGGAAGAAAGAAAAAATTGTGAAGCAGGCCCATGATGTTTAAAATTTTAATTTAAAATAAAAATACTACCACGATAGACTTCTGTTGCCAAATCCAAGCAACAGGTTATAGCTGTGCTCCAGATTGGTAACACAATTAGAAACAATTTGGTATTCAACGAAGAAGCAGTTATGTTTCAGTCCTCAGGATTCATTACAGAAGATTTATGTGTTAAAACAGTGACAACAAAAATGACTAGTCCTGAGAAATGTATTCCTCAGGAAACTGCCCTTCAGATTATAGAAAAAAAAGAAGATACTCCAGGAGCAGCTGTTTATCTTTTACTACTGCTTTCAGTGTGTTTACCCCTTATAGTTTCTAAAAAATCCACTTCAAAGTAATTCTCAATACATGAACAGATGTAAAACAGACATAAGAAATTCTGGGACTCCTAACCAGATTTTGATTAAAACGTATTCAAACAATTCAAAAACACATTTACTGCTGTTCCCGAATGCCTGCTTTGACAACTTGCTAAAATCTTTGCTGAACTGGGTATTTTTCTTTCCAGAGTTAGCTATATCTTCCCGTCTTAGTTATAAAAAGTTTTAGAAGGGCAGTGGTAATACTTGCATGTCCAATGTTGACTCTGGGGTAAATGCTGTTTTGTTAAGAATCATTTTATCATTAATTTTATTTAGCAAAACTGTTTCTCTGCTCTGGAAGATATCCCAGACTAACTCTGATGTAGTAATCTGATTTCAGTGAATATTATTCTTTCTGAAAGGCTCTAGAATAAGATTTACAATTCTATAATTATGTATGAATCTCATGAAGGAAGATTTATTTTTACATTTTTCTAATTTCTTCTATAACTGTCCTTTTATGTTGTAATCTTTGTGGAGGACTAATTTGTGGAAGATTATCAAGTTAATAAAAAATAAGACTGATTTGGAAAGGGCCATTATATTGCATAATCCCAGGAGAGTCACTCACTCACACTGCAGTTGTCAAATTGGAGCTCTGCAGCCATATGTAGCAGCAGTGAGTCAAAGGAGAACATAGAAGTTTGGGTCTATAGGGTATACAGGTATATAAAATGAGTAGTTATACAGAATTAGGTATACTGTAGCTTTAAGTTCTATAATTATATGCAATTTGTGTTTCTGAAGAACATCAACAGTTAATGCTACCAGCTGTTAAAAATAACATATTATAAATAAATATTGTTATAAAACTCTTAAGATGTATTTTTTGTTTTATTTTAATTCACAATAATTATATATACTTATGGGGTACAAAGTGATATTAACACATGCATACATTTTGGAATGATCAAATCAGAGTAATTAGTGTATCTATCACTTCAAATATTTATCATTTCCTTGTGATGAGAACATTTAAAATCCTCTCTTTCAGCTATTTTGAAATATATTCTTAACTGTGCTACAGAGCACCAGAACTTGGTCCTACTTTCTTACTGTAACTTTCTATCTGTTGAGCAATTCTCCCTTTTCCAGGTTCTACTACTCCTACCCCCAGCCTCTGGTAACAACCATC